AAAAAATGTGTTTAATAAGAGATACTTTCTCAGTTACCCATAATACTGATTCGTACTTATCACTCTATAAAGAACCAGAGATGGTTTTATACAGTAGTTATTGTTCAGCAGTTGTTGGATGTTTATCATTATTACTGTGAACAAGTTTCAGGTGAAACTTCAAACCAAATTTCAGCTTCATTTTTACAGTGCGGTTTCTCACGCCCACTATTGTTGCTCAAAGTGATTAGTGCTCCATTGATGCTAAACACCATCAGTTATTGTCTCAGCTCTGTGCATGCCGCTTCCTTACAGCGGAGTTATTTTCGCTCTAATTAAGGAATGTTTCTCTTGATGTTTCAGATTTAACTCTGAGCCAACACTTTACTTTTGTCCTCCTTGGAAAGGAGCTCTCAGTGTGTTAAACAGGTACCTTGTTTGTGTTTAGCTGGTGTTCCAGGAAACAGTTACGTGACGCTGCTTTTCATAAAACAGCAGGCCGGTTAACTACCACAGAAGATCACCCTGAACACAAACACGTCACTGCTGAGCTTTGCACTACTGAGGAGCAAGAGATGGCTTTTTTTTTTTATTCTCTCCATCTTATCAACAACAGCAGCAAAGATTTTACAGGAAACGAAAGTGTGCTGAGTGAAATGCAAACTGAATACGAAAAAAACAACATTGAGATAAAACAAGATTCCTCATGTGGCGAGGTGCATGAGCAACACACGCAACCACCTTGGTAGCTCAGCTGTTGTTAAAAGATAACATCCGGCCCATCGGGCTGTTGCGTATGTAGAATTGAGATGATGACGCCAACCTTTGACTACAAGTGGTTGAGTTCAAGAACCTGCAGGAATGCTTATTTACCTTTAGTGTTAGTTAATTTATTCATAAATGCAGCTAGACAGGAAAATAGAACTACTCAAGCAGAACCCTACTTAATGCAGGGAGCCAGAGGGCAGCCAGGAGGGTTAGACATTAAACCCTCTGGATTAATGTCTAATATTGTCTGATGTTTAAAAAAAAAAAACTCACACATTATTCTCCCTCCGGCAACTTACTAAAGCTTTAACAATGCATCCATCCATTTTATTTAGCCACTTTATATCAGTGCCCAGTGCCATCTCAACGGGTTTCCGGTCCATTACAGGTTAACGAAACACCACCATTAAGTAAAAACAAAAGAAACATCCATGCACTCCTTCCTTAGATGGGTCACTTTTATTAAACCTGGGTCCAAAAAAAGAGAAAAATACAGTTTCCCTCAGTCCAAATAAAGCCTCCGATACTTTACTTCTTAGCCCTTTATAGGGCAAGTTACAGTTTTTGATAATTTGCCTTACAAATGTAGTCCCCCCATCCCTCAGCGAGGTCTAGAAGAACAAGATCTATATCCAGCCATTCAGCAAAGATACAGCTACATGGCTGTACATCTTATTTTGGCATTTGACCAATTAGATGATCCCTTGAATGATGTATTACCTACTGTAAATTCAGCTGTAAAAAGTTAACAAGTCAAGAAAAAAAGGCAAAAAGCAAATGGAAAAGTTAAAAAGTAAAGTTAAAAAGTTAATAAGCCTAGTCAAGAATTAGATTTAGGTCTATAAACTAAAAAAATGAAAGTGCCAGTATCAGCATTAATGCCTCTAAGGTTATGTTGGACCAAAAAAAATTAGTTTATTTCATTCTCAGAGTGTGTTTCATGAATTTTATGAAGCACTTTTGTTATTTTTCTCACTACTACATTCGCGAAAGCTGGCGTTTCTTGTTATTACATTGACATTCATTTTTGCCATCAAAATATCCAGATTTCTTGAATGTTCCAACGGTAATAAGGTCTTGTCCTGGATTCTGAAAACAATATTGGCTTGAAATTTAGATTTTCAAAGTATTTTACTGATTGCCCTATATTAAAGAAAAGACTACTTTAATATCTAAAATACAAAATATGTCATTATGTTTTAAAAAACCATTGCATGTTTTAGGTTTAAGAATAAATAAACAACAAAAAGTTTGTAAAAAGAGAATATATTTTTTCTATGTGATGTTTTTATATATACAAAGTGATACAAAAAAGAACAAAGAAGGAAAATAGATTACGAAACAAACAAACAAACCAAGCTACCAGCTGCAGAACCCTGGTTTAATAAGATTAACTATACAGGCTAAAACCATTGCTATGAATACACACATCATTGACCTTCTATATTGTCAAAGCTTATTTTATTGCTTAACAGAGGTGCAAAAAACAAATTGCAATAAAAATAAGGATGCAGCAGCCCCCAGATCTGCTCAGAATGAGCACAGGTTAGAATAAAACCACCATGAATGCAGGTGTTTCAAGCATCAGCCAAAAAGACTGCAGACTCAACCTTCCAGCCGTTTTTACAGGAAGCAGCCACCTTCCAGGCAGCCCTCTCTCAGGGTGGGCGTGCAGAGGAAGAACACAGCCATGCTCAGCACACATCCGTTCAGTGAGAACACTCTAAAGCCCACAACAAAAACACACTATTCAGGCTGCATTATTCCCCCACCACCGCTAGAGGCAGACACATTATTCTGGTTGCATTGGAGTGGATTTCACCCTTGTTTCTGAAACTTTAGAGAAACGCTGTCATCTTCAGGGTGACTGGTGATTATTACAGCAGGTTTTACACATACATAAGAGCTTTTAAAACATAATTGCACACTTAACTAAGGCAGTTTTCTCCTGGTAATATCTACCCTTTAAAGCGGATAGTCGCATTTTCTTGTCTCCCGGTTAAAGCAAGGCCGAAATTAAGCCATTTCTGATACCTTTTCTTATCGGCGCTCTGACAAGCTGGAAGGCTGTAAAAGCTGCTAATAACAATCTGTCTCTGTCAGTCAGTGGGTGGAATCTGAGTGATTTCCTCTCTAGTCCACTCCATCATTAATCTGATGCCATTACTCTGTAAAATCCTCATGTCAAGAGACTTTTTGTGGCTCTCATTAAACATGTGATCACAGCAATGGCGTAAATCGGTAAGCAGAGACTGCAGTTGCTTAGGGTGCAGTTGCTTAGGGGCCCCTGACCTCTTAGGGGCCCCGTCACTGACACCTGGTTGCCCCACTACTTTGTGGACTGGTACATCTCTTTTCAGAAGCAATGGTGCAAAAAAATGCTCTTAAACCCACCTGATATTAAGGAAATCGACCGGACCTTATTTATACCCCAACACATGGCAGATTTCAACAAGATGGTGAGCAGTTTAAACACGACACCAATAGCAAAGCAGACAGTGGTACTTTTAATTACTATGTTCATTAAATGGTCGGGGAAAAATAAGCTCATATAACATGTTTCAAACCGCAATAAAGATCTTTAAAAACGATGTGTTTGAGTATTTTATTTTTAACACTACCATTTGGAATTATGGGTAATCCAGTGTTGTACTTCATTTGGGGCCCAGATAATGTTGCTTAAGGGCCTTTTATTGTGTCGTTACCCACTGGATCACATACAAGCGTGAAGGTGCGCGGAGTTTATAAAGCAGCAGGATCCATCTTAATCCAATGATTACAAAAATAATAAACAGGCCACTTGGTTTTAGTTGTGGGTTTGAAGTAGAATCATTTATTTTTGTAAGTCGGAGTTTTTAACAGCCTAAAACTTTCAGTACGTTGGGTCTCTTTGCAGAAGCAATGGTGCAAAAAAAAATCCCTTCTTAACCCACCAGATAGTAGTATTTCTGACCAGACCTTATTTATACCCCAACACATGGCAGATTTCAACATAATGATGAGCAGTTTAAACACGACACCAATAGCAAAGCAGACAGCGGTTATTTTAATAACTATGTTAATAACTGTGTATAGTTTATTAGATGGTTGGTAAAAATAAACTCATATAATATGTTTCAAACCGCAATAAAGCTCTTTAAAAAAGGATGTATTTGAGTATTTTATTTTTTACACTACCACTTGGAATTATGGGTAAGGAAGAGGATTAGGGCCACTGAATTTTTTTTTTTTTTTAAGTTAACTGATTTTTAAATTTTATTTCAGTTTAATATGGGAAAAAAGTCTGGCTTTTTTTCTCAGAATTCTGACACTTTTTCAGAATTGTGACTTTAATCTCAGAATTCTGAATGTTTTCCTCAAAATTCTGAATTTGTTTTTCAGAATTCTGACTTTTTTCTGTGAAATCAGACTTTTTTCTCAGAATTCCGTCATTCTCCACCAATGTGTTTCTGTTCCTCTCAAACAACTTACATCTTTGTCAGTGAAGCTGAGTGAAAAAAGTCAGAATTCAGATTATTTTCTCAGGGTTCTGACTTTTTTTTTTTTTTTAGAATTCTGAATTCTATCTCAGAATTCTGACTTCTTTCCCATATTAAACTGAAATAAAATTTTAAAACCAGTTAACTTAAAAAAAAAAAAAGAAATTTCAGTGGCCCTAATCCTCTTCCATATATGGGTAATCCAGGGTGTTGTACTTCATTTGGGGCCCAGATAATGTTGCTTACGGGCCTTTTGTTGTGTCGTTACGCCACTGGGTCACATACACGCGTGAAGGTGCGCGGAGTTTATAAAGCAGCAATATCCATCTTAATCCAACAATTTCCAAAACAATAAACTGGCCACCTGGTTTTAGGTGTGCGTTAGGTTTGCGGAGTTTTTTACAGACTAAAACTTTCAGTGCGTTTGGGTTGTACTGTGAGCCTCTGAGTGCAATAAAAGGGGGAAACGCTCCTGATAACTCCTGCCTGCGCTGCCTTGGTGGATTTAACGCGATCAGAGCCGCTCGATCAGTTCAATAAACAGGAACAGAAAGTTCGCACTCTGCCACTGCCCTTATTTTCCTATCATCTGGTAGACATGTACACAGTGTCCCTAAAGTTTCCCCTGGTTCGGCCCCGGTTCGGCCATGGCTTGTTTGGAACTTGTCAGCTGATTCTCCACTCTCTACTACTACGCGTTCACAGGAGCGCGCGCACACGCAGCAGGCAGGGCGCGAGCTGACAAACAACTACAATAACATGGATTCTTCTCACCTGGTTTGGAGTCACAGCAGCTCGGCAGCACCGCGCCGGAGTTCCTGACCGAAAAAAACAACAATAAAAGAACACGCACAAAAAGAAACAGCGTTGTAGAAAGCAACGTGGACGGGTTGTTTACAAAGTCTCTCCGTGAACTGCGATTGGTCTGAGAGGCAGAGTCAACGCCCCAAACCTCACTGGGCTGCTCTGGGTTTCAGGGTCTGATTTCCTCAATTCACAGCCGCTGATTACAGAAGAAAAGAGAAAAATTGCACATGACTTGGTTCACCTGAACCAAAGGAACCCTTTAGTTTTAGATAAAAGTCCTTTTTATTACTTCATACAACCAGGATGAATGTCATTCATTTATTCCTGCTTCACTTAATAAAACAATATAAGGGTGATTCTTTAACTACGCGCACTTTTATGTCCTCTGATCATATTTCATGAAAAAAATAAAACAGGGACATTTCACACCTTTATGGTTATCATTACAATGAAACTGTTTTAGTACATTTGTTTTAGTCTGCGATGACTTTTTCACCTTTTTGCAGCCTTATTTATATGTAAACATTACCGTTTTGTGCTTGTCTCACACCCAGACTTTTGATCTTCAATGATAAAAACGAATAGTAAAAAACATTTTTTCTAATGTTTTAAAATATCATTGAATAAAATATAGGTAAAATAATCAAACTATAATTGGAGTATTTAATGTCATACAACTGTTTATGTGATTTTTTTAAACCAATTGTGGTTGTCCAACACTATTGTCGTAATTTCCACCACAACACTGTAATGTCCCTTTAACATGTTACTATGAAAGATTGTTTGGGTAGTTGCTATGGCAATGAACAGTGACATCACAGCACAAGTCTGACATGGTGGGAATTTTGACTTCATTTCTTTTGAAGTAAAGCCAAGGTAAATATTGCTTGAAATGAAAATATTTTTATTGTATGTAATTTCCAAACATGCCGTAACATCAACTCAGTTTGGAAATACATTTTTATTTTAACACACATACAGGTAAAAGCCAGTAAATTAGAATATTTTGAAAAACTTGATTTATTTCAGTAATTGCATTCAAAAGGTGTAACTTGTACATTATATT